AATATGATATGACGTGCACTTCCATACGGGTCCACTCGGACAGTACGAACATCCCGGCACTGGCTGTGGGTTTATGTACACGTACTTCGATATTGACGTCTCCTCTATCATATAGAAAGCATATGATCTAGCGTCCAAAATTGCCAGTTTGTCATCAGGGTGTTTTAAGAAATTTTGTTCAATAATAGGCAGCGCTTGTGGGTCAGGTGACCTGAGCCGTACATTACCCACACTTTTAGGTCTGATTAGCACTGTATACACCTCTAGATAGTTGTTATATAATAAGTGTTGGAAATATTGAGTCCATTCACTGAGTCTGTCACCAATTTCAATGCCATTAGTATAGCTCAGTCCCCACTTATTAATAACAGACCCACCAATGACAATATCAGGGTAAGTCCAGTCGAGATTTACGCTTGAATTAAAAAATGTATATGAGATAACTGAGTTGGCTAATGGGCCGGTATATTGGAATAGTGCCTGGTACATTTGCTGGATACTGGATTCAGGCAATGGCAACACATAACTAGAGTTTCTAATAAGCATTGGTATGATTACTGCCAAATGATTCTGGAGATTATGACCAACTGGTAGGTCAGACCATATAGGTTCTATGCCAAATGATTGTAGGTACTTTCTGGGACCTATTCCCGATAACATTAAGAGGTGTGGTGACCCAATTGTACCTGCATTTATAAAATTTTAAAAATATTTAGATAGGAGGTCCTTATAAACATATTTTGTTTTGATAGATGAATACAATATTAATATCTAATCACTAATAAGGTTACAAAGTTGTAGGTATTTGTATTATTAATTATTTTACCGGATGACACAATAATCTCTTTGTTAGCCATAACACGATAATTTCGGTTTCCTTTAGTAAACTCCACTCCATATGCTTTCGGACTATTCAATTGATCACTTATAAGCACTTTAGTGACAAATGCCCCTGTTAATATATTAATATCAGGGCAAATATCAGAGAATTCCAAATATGAGTTGGCAGTAGATTGTCTCATCCCATCCCTGATAGTCGTCTGCATAATACTCGTGCCATACTGTGTCGGCCCATTTGGGTCCACAACTGGAAAGCCCTGTTCTGTCAGTGCTTTTTGCCAACTAAATAAAATTGGATTGATTTCTGATGGAGTGGACACACCCACCGGTCCACTGCGGCCGTGATATATGGGATCGACATTAGGATCGGTATTATTCTCTGATTTCTTGAAATACGGCAACAATTGTTCAAAACTCCAACCGTTGGCACCGAAATCACGAGCAATACTGTCGTAATACTTGCGGTTCCCTCTGTTGTATATCATACCGTTGACAGTAGATCCGCCGCCCAATACCTTTCCCTTTGCTTCTGGTGTTTGTCTATTTATGAACGCCTGTCCCACCTCTGGCTGCTCTTCATTGACGTACTGCCAAATACGGGACGGGTTCTGGAGGTTATAGCCAAACATACCGGGAAAGTCAGTCATCACTGAGTCCTGTCCATCGCCCGCCTCCAGTAGTAACACTCGGTTACCCTTTTCATGAGCCAAACGACAGGCCACTATAGAGCCGGCACTCCCAGCCCCCACCACTATGTAGTCATACGACGTGTTAAATTGAAAGCGATTTGCAAACAAGTCGTGTATTTGTTGTCTCTGTAATAGTACTGTGAATACTGTGAACCACTGGAGGGTCAGTGGAGGGGAGGGTATTATCAATGGATCCAGATTTGCTCAAGTAATTATATAAAAATAACCAATTAAAAGTATGCATAAATATAAAATATATTTAATGGCATAATTTTTTATGTTTTATTTAGATAAATTATTTTAATCCAATTTTGAGGAAATAATTTTTTAAACATTTTAAATTGTACCTGTGAATTCCAAAAACATACATTTAGGTTATAATTCTCACTAGTTGTTTAATTTTAAACATTACTTTTAATTGACATAATGGACATACCTGCTGTGTACAGTATTTATGCTGCATAACATAAGTTATAAATACTGTAGTTATACTGGTATTTATATTTATAATACTATTCTTTTCTGAAATTATTTACAAATTAGATTATTGGATAAGGGTCATTCTATCGGAAAATGTTAAACATGTTCAGTTATATGTCCACGTGTTCAGATAAATAAGTTATATCTTAATTATAATTTATTTTTCTTATCAATCTCTTTCTCGTTAGTATTAACCGGAAACCCCCCAACTCTGGTCATAAACGGGATCACTACCAAACTGTGTCCGGTGGTCCTCCAGCACCAGATCAGCCCCTTTCTCCCCCACTGCCAGTGCGGCCGCATTTGTATTGGCGTTAATAACTGCGGGAAATACTGACGTATCGATTACTCGCA